CAACCACCGCCAGCACAAGATCACTCCCATCTCTACCGCGTACTGCCGGATGAAGGTTGGCAGGCAGAGCCAGCTGGGGCTCCTGGGGTGGGGGTTAGGGCACCTGTAGTGCTCGCTGGCCAACTGCCCCCTCTCCTTTAAGGGACAGGCTGGAAATGATGCCAGTGTGGGGAGCACGGTCCCATGGCACAGCCAGATGTGGGGCAGGGTCCCTGGGCTGGCGGGAAGCTGTCTCTAAGGCTGGGCACGTCCCTGGCTGAGAGGACTCAGGTTTCATTGACCAAACCGCAGTGGGGAGAGCTGGGGGTCGGGGAGTGTCGGCGGAGCCTTTCAAGACTGTTTCCAAACACCATCAAAAAGAGCCTGGAGATAAGGGCTGAGGCGAGGTGCCACAGGAGAGCAGGGAGGCAGGGAAACAGGAGCCCCAGCCAGGCAGAGTAAACAACTGGCGTCCCCTGCCCAGCATCACATGAAAGCCCCAGGAATGGAAAAGCACAGGGCCACCCGTCCCCTCCGCTCCTGGCACCAGGGAGATAAGAGCCAGAGGCACCAGAAACGCTCCTGCTCCAGCCAGACTCCCGGCACCAGCACTGAGAGGGTGCTGGCTTGTGGGGGGCTCGCCCCCTGTCTGGTGCGGAGCCACCACAAGGTGTGAGGTATGGAGGGTTGGGAATGGGAGCCGAGACATGGTGCTCCAGGCAAGAGTACTTGGTCAGTAGCATCCAGATTGGGCCATGCTCTGAGTGCGTTCCTGCCTCTGGCAACCCCAAATCCTCTAGATCAAGAAAGTGAAGATCAGCAGGGCATGCAGGGCCCCAGAAAGCTTAAAGCAAGCTTAGGAGAGCGTGGCTTCTTAGGGCCATGTGCTCCTGGGGGGGTTGACAAGCACTGCCTGCGACCAAGGAGGTTGCCACAGAGGTCCCTCCGACAGAGGTGCTGCCTTTTCAGGAGGAGCTGTCTGTGCTGCTGACCGATGTCCACCAGTACAAGAGGAACCTGGATGAACACTTCAGCAAGCTTATCAACAACAAAAGCCGCATCGCAGTGAGTGCCATGTGCCAAGGGAGCCTGTGTCCCCGAGTCCTTTGTGTCCCACACAGACCCTGGAGAAACCTCTGCTCCTGGGTCTCCCCAGCTCACCTTCTCTACTCTCCTTCTCTTCCCCCCTCCCTGGGATAGCAGACAGGGCTTATCTTCCATCCTGTTCCTTGAGGTTCATGTTCTCCATGAAACTCAGAGATTAAACATAGACCTGTTTTTGGGAAGGATGACGTCGCCCACTCTGGTGGCACAGCCCTGTTTTCGGAAGGGGTGACGTAACTCTCACTAAGCATCCTGGCAGGAGCACCAGAGCTGGTTTGACCGAATGTCCTTGGAGGTGGGGAGATAACAGGTGGAAAGGGCCCCACTTGGAGCAGGCCTCTCAGTCAGAGCAACACTGTTGGTCTCACATTGAGTTTATGCCTGGTGTAGCTGTATGTCCCACACAGTAGACGTCTCCAAGGGACCTCCTGGCTTCCCTTCTGAGGCCAAAGCTTCCCAGTGGGGCTCCTCAGAAGGGCTCGACCTAAAAGAAAGTGGAGCTGCACTCTTCTCCCCCTTAGCCCAGGACACAGGTTGTTCCCTGGGAGCAGAGAGACCCAAGAGCTCTTTCAAGGCTCTGGTGAAACTGCTTGTGACATCAGGAAAACAAAATCTGGGGGAGGAGAGGCACAAGGCAGGGGCGCCATGGTGTTGAGCTGCTGAGAACAGTAGGATGAAACAAAATGTAGCCTGCTGTGAAGAGCTGCTCTTTATTTGGAAAACCAGTGGAGGGCAGCTTGGTGCCACATGTTGACATTGCTGGTGGCATCTCTGAAACCAAAACGCAGTGAAGGGGATGGAGCAAGGCAGCTCTGCACAGCCATTTACTGTCTCCTGGCAGAACGAGGCGGATGTCTTCAAGTGGGTGATCCGGAAGGAGTTCCAGGAGCTGCATAGGTACATTGACGAGGAGAAAGCCACCTTCCTGGAGAGCATTGAGGGGAAGGCAGCCCAGCTCATCACCTCCATTGAGTCCCAGGTCAAGCAGACATCAGATGCCCTGCAGAGGCTTAAAGAGATGCAGAGCTCCCTGGAGGCACTCAGCAATGAAAGTCAGCTTGATTTCATCCGGGTGAGTGCTGATGCTAGTGAAGGCAGTGACGGTCAGCCAGGCCCTCCAGCCCTCAGCCCACTGCTCATAGCCCCAAGCCCTGCCCTGGGCAGTAGGAACCCTCACCAAGCATAGCTGGGACACCATGAGAAGTGAGATCTAAGTGCCCTCTGTCCAGCCAGGGCTTCACCCGATGGGAGAGACCTGCCCTCCACGAGAGGCAATGCCTTTCACTCTCCCAGGAGAGGAGAGCCCTGGCCTCTCCAGCCCAGGGCACAGATGTGTGCAGCTGTGACCAAGCAGAGGAGCCACGGTTCTGTCAGTCTCCCACCGTTGACTCTGTCTTTCTCTTGTGTTTTCCAGAAATACAGCTCCTTCCAGTTCAGGTGAGTGGTGGGACCCAGCAGCAAACAGCATCAATGGGGATGGCAGCGTCTCTGCACCAGGGCCAGAAGTCCCGGGCCGGTGGGCATCTCAGCAATGCTGAGGCAGCCTCGCATGGACACTGCTATTGTGATGGATAGCCACGGCCAGAGCCATGCACTCAGCCCCAGAAGAGGGCAAGAGCAGCTGGTGGGAAACCAGCGGCTCCATCATACATGGCAGCCAGGTGAGAACAGGTCACACACCATCCCTGTCACCTGTGTCACAGCTGCCTGTGTCTTTCCAGGTCAGAGCTCCCCAGCCTGCACCCCGGTGACAGCATCTTTAGCCCCGTGTCCTTTAAGCCATGCTTCCACCAAGACGACATCAAGATGACCGTGTGGAAGCGCCTGCACCGCCGCGTCCTGCCAGGTACCGACCTGCCCCACTGGCAGCATGCCCAGTGCCCTGGCTCACTGCTGCATGGCCTCCCCAGCCAGTGTCGCGCTGCCCCGGCCTCCATCTTGCCCTCTGCTTGTGTGCCCCTCACACCCAGGAGAGCTCCTGGCGCAGTAGCTGGCCATGTCTTGTTCTGGTAGCAGCCTGCTCTGGCATAATGCTCCAGCTGCTTAAAGTTCAGCTGTGCCAGCTTGTCTGGCTGTGCCAGCTCCTGGGGTCACCCAGAGCCATATCCCTACCTGCTCGTGTGCCTGGAGCCTGCCTGCTTTCCTTCTAGCTCCAGAGACACTGAAGCTGGACCCGGTGACAGCACATCCCCTCCTGGAGCTCTTCAAGGGTGACACGGTGGTGCAGTGTGGGCTCTACCAGCGCCGGGACAGCAACCCCAAGCGTTTTGACTCCAGCAACTGCATCCTCACCTGCAAGGGCTTCTCCTGCGGTCAGCACTACTGGGAGGTGATTGTGGGAACCAGGAACCACTGGCGTGTGGGCATCATCAAGGGCACCGTCAGCCGCAAAGGGAAGCTCAGCAAGTCTCCCGAGAACGGCGTGTGGCTCATTGGCCTGAAGGAAGGGAAGGTCTACGAGGCCTTCAGCACCCCACGGGCCACTCTGCCGCTGACCACCCGGCCCCAGCGCATCGGCATCTACCTGCACTATGAGAAGGGCGAGCTGACCTTCTACAATGCCGACAACCCCGATGAGCTCAGCCCCATCTACACCTTCCAAGCAGAGTTCCAGGGCCAGCTCTACCCCATCGTGGACCTGTGCTGGCCGGAGCGAGGGCCCTTCTCCCCACCCATCATCCTGCCCATGCCCGCCGTGAGCCCGCACCCCCGCGTGCTGTACAACCGTCCTGCTCCAGAGGAACCCACGAAGCCGTAGCCTGGCCAGCAGGATGAGGCTGTGGCCGGGGAGGGCTGTGGCTGAGCCCTGAAGGCCCACAGCAGAGGAGAGCCTGGCTGCGTGCAGGGTTGTCCTGAGGTGGAAGCTGTGGTGGTACCACAGGGTAAGCTTCAGCAGCACAGGAGGGTCCTTCCTCTCTCCTCCAAGAGCATAAAATGTCAGCCTTGATCTCTGAGTCCCCAGTGGATTTCCCCTATGGAAAGAAGCGCCCGCCATCCGGGGTCTTTGGTGGCATGTTTTTCTTCTGAATAAAGAGAGTTTGTGCCAGGTGAGCTGGTCGCTGGCTAATGTTCCGTCTCCAAGGAACTGACTGCAGCTGGAGCCGAGTGGGCAGCCGCAGTTTTCTGCGGAAGTACCTGCCAGAAGGGGAAAACGGTGCTGCTGGCCAGGCAGCAGAGGTCAGCTCCAGTGGGGAGGGCACTGCCTGCCTGGGGCAGCACCTCTTCCAGCTGCTCAGGGATGGCAGCTGGTGTGGGGAACCTCGGGCACTGCCCGTCGGGGTGGGACACTGCACCGCGGGCTGAGGCAGTGTGAGCAGAGCAGGGCTGGGCACCTGGATATCGCGGGCAGCCCTGCACGCCGCAGCTC